TAGTTTGACAGATTTAAATAGCATCTTAGTATCATTGTATAGTAATCTATATCAGGATTAAATACTATTAATATTATATATAATTTGATTCTTAGATAAAATACTGCATACATAAGTTTAGGGTCAGTAAAAAATAACGCAGATTGTGGAAATATTATCACAAAAAACATGAGCACCGAACCATAAAATGCAGATATAATTGGGATAGTTTGTCCTTTGCCAGATTTAATCTAACACATTTACAGAATATGCAGAGTATTTGTAATTGTTGTCACTGTAGTGAGGCAAATCAGTTTAAAATTTTATGGCATCTTCAGCTGCTCACTGATTTTAAGCCTTTTACATTGCTTATTTAGACAATGAAATCACAGATTTTTATAGTTTGACAGATTTAAATAGAATCTTAGTATCATTGTATAGTAATCTATATCAGGATTAAATACTATTAATATTATTTATAATTTGATTCTTAGATAAAATACTGCATACATAAGTTTAGGGTCAGTAATATAGGAAAAAATTAATAGTTCTATTCAGCAAGAATGTATTAAATTGACCAACAGTGACAATAGAGACTTCAACATAGAGTTGTTACAAAATATATACATTTCAAATAAATGTTGTTCTTTTAAACTTTGAAAGAATCCTGAAAAAACTAAAATAACGACTTTATTCAACCATTTCTTCTCTCCTGTGTCAGTCACGAGGGTGCCGAAACGCATTTATGTGCATTTAAAACGATTTTATTTGTGGTGAACCAATTGTAACCTTTGTGACAGAAGAATTTCATCTCAGCAGGAATCCACAATTAGATATCACATTATCCAACTACTGTAGTGTACAGTTGTCTTTTTCTAATGGTCTTCTGGAAACATAAAAACACAAGACTACATGACAGTACTGTCTACTTAAAACAGGAAGCAATTTAGCTTTAGTGTGTGCCAACAGTAGCCAACTCCATATAAATTACTGATCTGTGCGCAAAATTCATGTTGATATAAGCATAAAATGACAGACACTTCCACAATCTCTTCAACAAAAGTAAGATTAGCACCACTAATCCTAATGTTGTGTTCCCCAAAACATGTTTAGATCACCATAAAACCACTTTCTAAAGAAGAGCATGCATTTGTTTTCAATGAATGTGATGGTGATTAATGCAGTCTTGAGGTGAAGTTTCATTTTTGTACTGCTATTGATTTATAGTGCAACATCAACACATTTTAAATAGTCTTCACAAGGTCAGGTACCATCTTTCTCTCTGAGCTGTGGATACAAATGGAGATATAGAGGCCACTTTGGCTCTGTATACTTTGGCCATGTCATAAAGTGACAGTATGAAAAAACTGGCCGTCAAGATATGACAGATATTATTAAACAATCACCTGAGTGAACAGAATAAATGTGTTTAACTTTAGTAAAATCACGTGTGCCAACATAAACTGTCAGCCAGTTTAAAACGAAATAGCAGACATGTGGGAAATAAGCACAAAGAACCTCAGCTTACCTAAATCTTGGTACTAAATTAAGTACCAAACTGCACAGCCAAACGCGATGAATAGCAAACGCAACATCAAGTTGTACCCATTAGGCTGAATCAGCTCCGGTTGATTAGAGGGCAGAAACATATTCTTGCTATTCCTTCCAGCAGCGGTCTGAATACGGACTCCTCTCTCTTAAATTGCGCCGTTCTGGCACCATCTAGTGGGCAGGAGCATGTATTACACTACTTCATTCTACTCCTTTCTACTCAGTGTACTAGAGCAAAGTCCTTTTAAGACAAGTCATGTCACTCGGCGGCCATCTTTGAAACGCCTCTCGGGCATGCAAGTGCAACTCCTATCTCTTTGAATGGGGAAACATCAAATTCTCCAAAACTGTTCACTAAGTTTACGATTAAATTTCATATTTGAAATCACCAAAGAAATCTGACAACAACTGTGTCATAAATGTTGTTACTTTTGCTCAAATAGCTTATAAAAAGCTTATTTTTCAGGCAAGATCAGCCAGTGCCCATGCGCAGTCCTAAGAGCACGTCTCAGAACGCTGACT